TCCTCCTCCTCCTGCTTCCTGTCGCTCCAGCCCCAGGGGGGCCTGGGGCCGGGCTGGCTGGGGTCTGAGAAGGAAGCGTCGTGTCTAGCTTACTGCTTGGTCCCTGCTTCAGAGCAGCCCAGGGCGGGCGCCCGGGGTCCCCCGGGTTCTCGTGTCACTACCGAGTTTCTCCTGGTGCTGACCTCACTTGTCCTACTTGTCCTCGCCGGAAACCTCAAAGCCAAGTGACCTCCAGGCGGGAATTTGGGTGCTCGCTTCTGGATGTGACTTGAGTGCCCTTGGCGGTCCAGTTGGCCGGCCCTCCGGTCTGGGAGTGTCGGGGGGATGTGTGAGACAGCCCTCCTTTGCACGGTGGCTTCCTGGATCCACACGTGTGTGCGTGCCTGTGCATGTGTGCCCATACGTGTGCCTGTGTGTACCTCTAAGTGCACACTTGAGTGTGTGTACGGTCTGGACATGTTTGCACGTGTGCATATGCGTTTGAGTGTGTGTAGGAACTTGTGTACATGCCTGCATGTATGTCTGTGTGCACACCTGTCTGTGATGTTTTCATGTGTGTGCACATGCATGAATGTGTGTATGTGGACGCCAGAGCAGAGGGAGTGGATTGGAGGGAGCAGGGGAGAGTGGGTGAGGGACAGAGGGCGGGGGGGCAGAGGGCAGTGGGGTCGGGGGCCGCAGAGGAGCCTGCTGGGGAACATCACTGGCCTCTTCTTATCTCCTGAGTGCGTGAGATTGAGTGTGCATGTGTGTGAGATTGTGTCTGGGTTTGTGAGAGTGTGAATGTATATGTGAGTGTATAGATGCGTGTCCGTGAGTGTGTGTGTGTGTGAGTGTATCTGTGTGTATCTGTGAGTGTATGTGTGTGTGTCTCTGTGAGTGTGTGTGTGTGTGAGTGTATGTCTGTGAGTGTGTGTGAGTTTATGTGTATGAGTGTATCTGTGAGAGTGTCTGTGGATGAGTGAGTGTGTATAGGATGTGAGATTGTATCTATGCTGTGTGGAGTGTATGTGGTGAGTATGTGGCGTATTTGAGTGTGTATGTAGTTTGTATATGCATATCTGTGGGTGTAGGTATGAGTGTGTGTCTGAATGAGCGTGCGGATGTGTGTGAGATTGTGTGTCATGTGGCTGAACCCGTGTGTGTTTATGTGTCTGTGAGTATGTGTGAGAGTATGTCTGTGTGCATATATGAGTGTGTATATGTGTGAGAGTGAGAGTGTATTTGTGTGAGTGAATGTGTTTGTATGTGTGAGAGTGTGAGTGTGTGTGTGTATTTACATGTGAGAGTGAGTATTTTTGTAAGTGACTGTGTCTGGGTGAATGTGTCTGACTGTATGTGTAAGAGTGTTAGTAAGTCTGAGTGTATGTGTGTGTCTGTATCTGTGTGAGTGTGTCTGAGTGTATATATGTATTTGTGTGAGTGTATGTCATGAGTGTATGTGAGTGTATGTCTATGAGTGCCTGTGTGTGAGTGCGTGTGTCTCTATGAGAGTGTGTGTGTGTGTGTGGTTAGCGTGTGGAATGTAGAGTCTGGGCAGGAGTGCTGTGACCCTGCAGGTTTAAGGAGCATCCGATTGCCCTGTGGACACAGATAGAGGCCCAGAGACAAGTTCTGTGTCTGAGGCGAGGCGGCGTGTGGGGCGGGGGTTCTGATGGCTGGTGCGCCCCCAGCTGCGTGGGCCTCTCTGAGGAGGATCCTGCGGACAGAGGCGTTTCCTTCCAGGGAAGAGGAAGTCTGTGAGTGTGTGTGAGTGCGGGTGTTTGAGGTGACCATGTAGTGTGAGCGTACGTGAGCATGTGTGTGTGTGCGTGCGAGTAGGTGTGTCTAAGTCTGTGTCTCAGCAAGTTTGTGTGTGTGTATGTGTGTGTGTCAGAATCAGAGCATATGAGAGTGTGTGAACCTAACGTGTATAAGAGTGTGAGTGTCCTTGTGGTATGTGTATGTGTGTCTGTGTGTAAGCGTGTCTGAGTATGTGAGTGTGCATGTAGGAGTATGTATAAATATGTCTCAGGTGTGCGTTGTCTGCGTATGAGCATGTGTCTCTGTGTAAGCATGTCTGTGTGTATCCGCATATCTCTGTGTGTGAGCGTGTCTCTGTGTGTGTGTGTGTGTGCGCCCCTGTAAGCGGTCTGTATGTGTAAACGTGTCCTTGTGTGTCTGCCCCGTGGCGGCCGTCATTTCAGAATAGAAAGGGAGCAGCCCTCGTGGCGGGCTCCTGAAACCCTCACGCGTTTCTGGGGGATTAGGCGCGCCGTATTTTTAGTAAAAACATATGCTGTTACTCAAATTAATGTTTCTCGTCACACTCCACGGGAATGCGAGAGAAAGCGGCCCCGGAAACGCCTCCCCCGAGCCCCGTGTGGGGCGCGGCCCAGGGACCGTCCTGCCCGAGGAATTTCTGGGCGCAGAGTTTCTGGGCGCAGGTGGGGTCTTCCAGATGCCCCCTAAATCCTAGAGCGGGGTGTCGGGACGTGACGGGGCCTGTCCTGCTGTGCCCGCCTCCCCCAGGCTGCCCTCAGGCCGCCCCTCAGGCTCCCCCGGGACACTGAGGCATTGTCCTGTGCCCGTAGGCGCCGAGGCTCCTTCCTGGGCTCTGGCCTGTCCCCAAGTCTTCCCGTGGCTCTTACCTGCGGGGCCTGAGCACAGAGCGGGGAGTCCGCCCTGAGTGCAGTGGCTGTGCCGGAAACCAAGGCCAAGAACGGCCTCTTCCTCCCTCCCTCCGTTCTGGCGACCCAGTGGTGGGGCAGGGCAGGCTTCTTTCGTTATTAATTTACTTTGCTTTCGGGGTCACCCCGGCAGTGTCTGGGGTGACCCCGGCCCTGCTCTCAGCAGCACTCCTGGCGGTGCTCAGGGGACAGTACGGGACGCGGGGGTTGAGCCCGGCTCGGCTGCAGGGCCCTCCCCACCGGACTGTCTCTCTGACCCTCAGCTACTTGTGGCTGTCATTGTTGTTTCGTTTGGGGAACACGCGGCGATGCCCAGGGCTTCCTCCTGGCTCTGCTCTTGGGGATCACCCCTGGCAGTGTTCGGGGATCCATACAAGGTGCCCGTGCAAGGCCAGCGCCCACCCGCTGGACTGTATCGCTCTGCTCTTATCTATTTTTTAAAAGAGTTTTTGGCCGTGTCTGAATCAAGGCGGGTGGCCTTGGTGAGGAGCGTTTTCCTTGTTTGTCCTGGTGGGAGGTGTGTATATATGGGGGGGGGGTGAGTTGGGCCCCTCGAACCCACACTCAAGGGCTCCTGCTGACTCTGAACTCAGGAGTGACCCCTGGCATTGCTTGTTGGGGGCCGAAGGTGGTCTGGGGGACTCACACTGGGCCCCCCTGGCCAGCGCCTTGCCCCTGGACTCTCTCCAGCTCTGGGAGATGCCGTGAAGGTGGTTTCTGTGGTTACCCTGGATTTCAGCCCATTTCCTTTTTTTTCCCTTTTTGGGTCACACCCGGCAATGCACAGGGGTTCCTTCTGGTTCTGCACTCAGGAATCACTCTTGGTGGTGCTGGGACTCGAACCCAGATCGGGCGTGTGCAAGGCAAACGTCCTGCTGGCTGTGCTATCGCTCCAGCCCCTTTTGGCCCGTTTTCACAGGGCATTTGTACTCTGGTGTTACCGTGGACGGAGACTGGCGGGATGGAGTGCAGGGTTGCGGGGCTGACTTTGTGCAGTTCCTAGACGTGGGCACCTCTGCCTCCCCCCCCCCCCCCCCGACTGGCAGAGATCGGGTGAGCGGGACTTTACCCAAGTGCCCTGTAGGCTCCGGCCCCCTCGGCTGCAGGGGCCGATGCTGTGTTTCCACCAGGCTTGTCCTGGGGACTGCGGGCGATGGAGCGGCCAGTTCCTTACACATGAAACGTGGGTGTGCAGAGGCGCTGCTGAGAAGGGCAAGCAAACAGCGGGCTCTCTGGGAACAATCCAAGGGGCCCAAGAGCTCACACGGGGGGTAAATCCCCTTGGCATTGGTGTTGCGCGCAGCTCACCTTGGTTCACTGCCCGGCACCCCATGTGGTCTCCCGAACACCCTCCGCAGTGATCCTTGAGCACAGCCCAGGAAGCCCTGAGCCCTGAGCACGGCTGGGTGTGGCCCCAAATCCCTCCCCTCGAAAGAAAAATGGTTCTAGTTCAAGGTTCTGTGCATTTTGTTTTGTTTGGGGGCCTCATACCTGGGGGTGCTTGGGGTTGCCTCCTAGCATGTCTTGGGGAGACGATGACATGGCAGTTCAGAGGAACAAACTCAGGGGGTTCCCTTGGAACTTTCTCTCTGCTCCCCCCAGTTCTTTGATTTTTTGTGTGTGGGTGGGTGTGTATGTGGGTGTGTGTGTGTGTGTGTGTGGGCGTGGGTGTGTGGTGTAGGGGAAGGTACCCCAGAGTTTTGAGAGTCTAGAAAGGTTGGAAGTGCATCTCACATCTGGTTTCTTAAACTGTGGGTCATGTCCCCATCTGAGGAGAGTCACAAAAATTGGGCAATGGTAAACAGTTTCTTTTTCTTTTCTTTTTTCTTTTTTCTTTTTTTTTTTTTTTTTGCTTTTTGGGTCACACCCGGCGATGCACAGGGGATACTCCTGGCTCTGCACTCAGGAATTACTCCTGGTGGTGCTTGGGGGACCCTATGGGATGCTGGGAATTGAACCTGGGTCGGCCGCGTGCAGGGCAAACGCCCTCCCCGCTATACTATCTCTCCAGCCCCGGTAAACAGTTTCTGAACATGCATCCCCCAAAATGTGATGATTTAAAAATCAGCTGCATCACAGACTGCCCATGTGGCGTTTCCTGGGGAGGTTCGCGAGTAGACAGAGTTTAAGACTCCCCGACGTGACGCATCACACAAGCAGGCGCTGACCCGCCCTCCCGAGTCTACCTCTTGGCTGCCCTTCCTGCAGTTCCCCCTGCAGCAGCCACTGGCTCGGCCGTTTGGGCCAGCGGGTCCTTTCTGCGGGATGTGGCGAGGCTGGGCCTCGTGCCCTCTGGTCTCCTCGGGACTCATCTCAGCCTCTTGTTCCCAGGATGAACTGACGGCTGTGAACGTGAAGCAGGGTTTCAACAACCAGCCTGCCTTCACGGGAGACGAGCACGGCTCGGCCAGGAACATCGTCATCAACCCATCCAAGGTAAGGCCGCAGCCGGCCGCTGTCCAGGCCAGAGCCTCATGACGGTCATCTCCGGCACAGCTGGGAGCGTGGTTCCCCCTGGGCCATCCTGGCTTAGGCACGCCCCTGGGGACCCTCTTGCTGCCTGGGGGCATCGATTGACGGTGGGCCTGCTCTGCCCGTCCTGCAGTTTACACTCTGGTCTTCTTTCGGGTTTGGGGTTTTCAGATCACACACCTGGCGGTGCTCAGGGTTTACTCCTGGCTCGCACTCGGGGACCACTCCTTGTGGGCATCGGGGAACCACACGTCATGCCAGAGACGAGCCTGGTGGTGGCCACGGGCAGGGCAGACACGTCCCCTGCCCTCCTCTTGCTCCCGCCCCCACACGCCCGTCTCACATCTCAGCTCAACGGGTTTTCTGTTGGCAGGATGGGTGGGGGGCAGGGGGGAATCCCGTGTGTGTGAGGCAGGGGCCTCCCTTGCCCCTGGTGCCTTGTACTCGCCCCTGTTCTTACTGTGGACACGCCAGCAGCCGTGTCCTGGGACTGACTGTCTCTCCAGGAGAGATGTTCGGCTCACCAGCAAGTCAGCATCGATCCCTGAGTTTGTGCTGAAAGATTTTTCTTTTTAATTGTATTTGTTTGGGCTGGAGTGGTAGCACAGTGGGTAAGGCATTTGCCTTGCACACCGCCAACACGGTCGGTCCAGGTTCGATTCCTCGGCCCCTCTCGGAGAGCCCAGCAAGCTACCCAGAGTATCTCGCCTGCACGGCAGAGCCTGGCAAGCTCCCCGTGACGTATTCGATATGCCAGACACAGTAACAACAAGTCTCAAAATGGAGACGCTACTGGGCCCGCTCGAGCAAATCGATGAACAACGGGAGGACAGTGCAGTATTTATTTATTTCTACGTGATTGGGTTTCAGTCCTACACTGAAATGTAGTCCTACACTGAAATGTAGGACTGTTGGATGGGTGTTCTACCCCCATCCCTCCACCAGTGTCCATTTCCCAGCACCAGTGTCCCCAGGTTCCCTCCCATCCCCCACCCCTCACCCCCCAGCCTGCCTCTATGGCAGGTGCTTTTCTTCTCTCTGTCTGTCTCTGTCTCTCTGTCTCTGTCTCTCTGTCTCTGTTTCTCTGTCTCTGTCTCTGTCTCTGTCTCTCTCTCTCTCTCATTCTCTGTCTCTCTGTCTCTTTCTCTCCCTTTGGGCACTGTGGTTTGCAATACTGATACTGGAGTCCGACACGCTACCATTGCGCCACGAGGTCGGCTGCACTATTGATACTGAAGGGTCGTCCTTGACCTACTTTGAACCCTCAGCTCTTGTCCAGCATGATCGTTCCCTGCTGTTATTGTCACACTGGGCCCTTCTCCATCTTACCTACCCTCAGCCCCACACACACTCATGGTTAATTCCAGCCGTTGACCAATAAAGGATTTGCTTTGCTGGGCTGACTGTAATTATGGTTAATTACAATATTGTCGTTAATTATGGTAATCATTCGTTACTTGTTGGGGTGCTTTTGCCAAGGACACCCTGCTTTTCTCGGGGTCACCACCTGACCCCCCTGACCTTCCTTCCATATTTGTTGACTTTGCCTCTGTGGCACGAGGAACCTCCAAGCAGTGCTCAGGCACCCCCTGGCCCAGGCCTGGGGAGACCCAGCTGACAGGGTCAGCGGTGCTGGAGGGTCAGAGATGGCCAACAAGGCGTCCTTGGGGTGCCTGGCGGTGCCAGGGAACAAGCACAGGCCCTTGCCGACCTCCAACCCTTTGAACTCTCTTCCCAGCTCCTCTTTTTCGTTCAGGGGCCGCCGCCCTTGGTGCTTGGGAGTCCCGGCATTGCCTGGGGGGCCACTGGGTGGGTGCTGGGGTGACCGTGCCGTGCTGGGCATCGACCCCCGTCTCCCTGTGCTGTCTTGCTGGCCATGCAGTTTTCTTTTTGAGGCTCTGGCAAACTCAAATCAGGGCCGGGAAAGGGGGGAGGGGGGCGTTAGTAGACGAATCTATCGCCTGGCTCCTAGAAATTTTTTTAATTAAAAAATGTATATTTATCTTTTTCCATTGTCATTGGTAATTTAAGGTGGGAAACTGTGGATTTAAAATGTAATATGAAATCCATGACATCCATCATTAAAGGCAACAGTGAACTATGGAAATTGTAGAGAGGTAGATATTTAAATTGCTATATAAGTACTTGGATGAGTAAAATATTTAACAGAGTTTGAAGTATTGTTATTTGTATATGCTTTTGCAGAGATTGGGCTGGAGTGATAGCACAGCGGTAGGGCGTTTGCCTTACAAGCGGCCAACATGGCCGACCCGAGTTCGATTCCTCCGCCCCTCTCGGAGAGCCCGGCAAGCTACCGAGAGTATTCGATATGCCAGACACAGTAACAACAAAGTCTCCAATGGAGACGTTACTGGGCCCGCTCGAGCAAATCGACGATCAACGGGAGGGCCTTTGCCTTTACCTTTACCTTTACCTTTACCTGCAGAGATTGAATGCCATTCAAAATACCTATTTTGATCGTATTGTAATCTATATTAAAATTTTGGCTTTGGCTTTGACTTGGGCTGGAGTGATAGCACAGCAGGTAGGACGTTTGCCTTGCACGTGGCCGACCCGGGTTCGATTCTCGGAGAGCCCAGCAAGCTACCGAGAGTATCCTGCCCACACAGCGGAGCCTGGCAAGCTCCCCGTGGCGTATTCAATATGCCAAAAGCAGTAACAAAAAGTCTCACAATGGAGATGTTACTGGCTCCTGCTCGAGCAAATTGATGAACAAAGGGAGGACAGTGCTATGGTGCTATATTTATTTATTTATGACTTTGGGAACCATCCCTGGTGGTATTCTGGGATTGCTCATTTTTTTAGAATTTAATATTACTTTTATAAAGTTGTTCACAATATTTTGCTACAGTTAATATTCAAGCACCAATCCCACCACCATGCACCTTCCCACTACCCTACGAGGAAAGTATGTGAAGATTTTTGTGTTTCATCCTGGAGCCGTTTAAGCCCTAGTGCAAGAGCTTCCAAGCATGTATGTTCCAAACAAGTGTGTGCTACTTTTGGTTCGTCAGTGGGCTAGAGTCCTGAGCACTGTGGGTGTGCCCCCCCAAAGTGTGCCAACAGGACCAACAGGATGGTGTGCAGGGGTAAGGCGTTTGCTCTGCGTGTGGCTGAGCCTGGCTTGTCCTCAGCGCTATGTGTGGTCCCCGAAAACCACTAGGAGTAATCCCAGAGACTGGGCCTTCTCCCCCCGGCGCCCCAGTTTTCCAGTAGCTTGGCAGTCACACCCACAAACTGCCCCCATCGCCATATAATCTCATCAACTGCCAAGATCCAGAGTGTAAAAGGCCGCACACTCCAGGACGTTCTGTGTCGCTCTCTTCCTGGAGCTGTGGGTCTTGGGGGCCCAAAAGAAGACTCTGGTGGCAGGTACTCTTGGCTCTGTGCTCGGATCACTCCTGGCAGGCTCGGGGCGAAATGAATCCCGGTCATCTGTGGCCAAGGCAAGTGCCCATCTGCTCTGTGTCATCTCTCTGGCCTTATCGCGGACGCCCTTTTAAACATGACAGCGCCAAGCGTATATTTTAGTGGTAACTTGTACGATACTTTTTTGGAGGTGCTCAAAGACATAAAACTCACATCCTCCGAGTGGTTTAAGTGTAGCGTTCTCGGCGCTGATGCGCCAAGGTGCTGTGTCATGATGTCCTCTCTCCGTCTCCAGAACGTTCCATCTTCCTTAACTCCCGCACTTAAAGCCCGGTAACTGTATTTTGTACGCGCGTCTGTCTTCTCGAGGGGCAGTGCTCGTGTGGGCAATAAAGGGCAGAGAACGCTCCATCATTCACGGGCTGTAAAGACGGGCAGAGTTGGCAGCCGGCGGCGCGCTGGTTGTCGGGGCTTATTTATGAGAGGATCTCGGTCTACACAAGGCTTTTCCCTTCCGTCAGATAAATTTCCCCCAGCGTCCTGCTGAGAGGCTTGAGGGCTGCCGGAAGAGAACTTCTGGGCGTGCAGGCAGCCGAGATCGGTTTGGGCAGGAGGAGGGGTGGGGGATATTTCCTTTCTAGGAGCTGTGGGTCTTGGGGGACCAAAGGAAGATGCTGGTGGCAGGTTTCGGCCCCTGGTCCTGCTCTGGCCGCCTTCTCTTGCTTCCTCTCTGTTCCTCTCCTGTGTGTGTTTTCTGGCTCTTTTTTTTCTTTTTCTTTTTTCAGTGGCAGACTACACCCACTAAACTAATTCTCAGGAATTACCCCTGGGTGGGCTCAGAGCCATAACAGGAGGGTGTTTGCCTTGCACACAGCCCCCAACCCAGGTTCCATCCCTTGCGTCCCATGTGGTCCCCCAAGCACCGCCAGAGGAATTCTTGCGTGCAGAGCCAGGAGTAACTTTGAGCATTGCTGGGTGTGGCTCCTCCTCCCAAAACAGGAATTACTCCTGGTGGTGCTTGGGGGACCATATGGGGTGCCCGGGATCGAACCAGGGTGGGCCGCGTGCAAAGCAAACTTCCTACCTGCTGTGCTGTTGCTCTGGGCCATCTGGGTCTCCTTCTTTGGAGCGTCCCACGCCCCAGTCCTGTTGGCTGAGGACCCCTCAGGGGTACTTTTTTCTTAATAGGGACCCTCCTTCCCGCCACATCAGGAGCTTAATTGGGACAGGCTGATGACATGAATTCGCCTTTGCCCGAGTGCTGAGGTCTCAGTATCAGCTGCCAAACTATTCTCTCTCCTCTGGGTCGAATCCTGAGTCTCACAGAAGTCACTGGAGACACAGAAACGCACCCATGGCAGCTGCTGCACTACCCCCCCCCCCCCACCACTACCCCCTCACCCTGGACTATTTGCTTATAGCTTCAAACTCCGGAGCGTTTTTCCATCTTGCCCATGGAGCTACGCAGATGACCGTGTAGCTCCCAAACTTGCACCCCAAATGAATGAAAATGAATGAAATGAAAATGTTTCCATCAAATGAGTGAAAACCATCTCCCCTGCCCCCGAGTGAGC